ATCCTAAAGCCTCTGTGTCAATTCTAAGAAACAATGATTCATCATTTAATATAAAAAAAAAAAAAATTTAAGTCGGTTTAACTGCAAATCAGCTTTTTTAAAAATAGTGCAGAGGTTCATTAGTATTATTTAATGTCTCTGAGCGGACATGAACAAACAGCAAACGAACTAGTATTATATCAGTGACATATATCGTGTTTATATATAAATTTACGATATTAAAACTCGCAATAACTTTCGTTTAACTTTAAATGCACGAAGATAATAAATATGACAATAAAGATAGAAAAAAAATTATACATATACAACAATAGTTAGAAAAATGTATATTATACATAAACAGAACATTCATAAAAGAGCTGCTTGAAGTGTCTAGACGAATCTGTTGATAATGATTGTGAGCATAAAACCCAATTAGAATGAATTTTGTGTTTCCGGGAATATTGATTGGTTGTGGACCCGGAAGGGCGTAGAAGCCACCAGGAGCGGAATCATCGAGTCTCTGGCTCAGCCACCGACCCAAATATCTGACCTTAGCTGGTGATTGTGGTGGTGGTGGTGATTAGAGTGCGGATGGTGATAGTGGTGGTGATTGTGAAAGCGTCGGTGGTGTTAGCATGATAGTGGGTGCTTAATCTGATTGTGGTGAAGACCATAGCGATGGTAGTGTGGTGATGGTGATAGTAATGACCACAATCATAGTGATGGTGGCGGTTATAGAGATGGTGATGTCCATATTGGCAAGTCTATTTTCTTTCATTACCTTGTATGTTGCGATCATATCTCCTCCGTTTCCTCTGCTCATCAGGGCTGTGAGCTCCAGTTCCCCCTCAACCTATCCTCATAGTTTAACCCTCGTCGATCTCGCATTAATCTTGTTGCAAACCTTTGTACTTCATCAAATTTCATGTATCCTGCTTCACAAGACATGGATTCCAGGCCGGTGCTACTTATTCCAGTGTTGGTCTAACAATTCTTTTGTAAATTGTCTTGACAAAAATAACAAGAGTCGTGATTTAGGTGTGTAAAGGACGCCTTAATGTCTGCCAGCATCCCATATCCTGCCAATATTGTTTTTGCCAATATTTAAGTACTGCCAATATTGTTTTTGCCAATATTTAAGTACTGCCAATATTTCTACCAGTCCGTTTAGTTTCCTAGAGGAAGATTCTGCCTGTGGGCTATCTTGAGGTTATCTTGAGATGATTTAGGGGCTTTTTAGTGTCCCCGCGGCCCGGTCCTAGATCAGGCCTCCACCCCCAGGAAGCAGCCCGTGACAGCTGACTAACACCCAGGTACCTATTTACTGCTAGGTAACAGGGGCATAGGGTGAAAGAAACTCTGCCCAATGTTTCTCGCCGGCGCCTGCGATCGAACCCAGAACCACAGAATCACAAATCCAGCGTGCTGTCCGCTCGGCCGACCGGCTCCCCTAGTCCGGTTCCTGAGGATTGTGGTCTTTTAATACTAGTCTGTACTCATTCCCTTGGTCTATTTCCTCCTCCTGCCCTGTCTCCATTCATGTTCTCTCCAAACTGAATTGTCTTTCCTTCATTCTATTTCCCTGCGCTTATCCTCTCTATTTCTCTTACTTTCTTATCTTTCTTCCTTTCTCATGTCCCGGTCAATAAGCATCCGGTTGCCTCATCCAGAGGTTGCCTCATCCATCTAGACACTTCATCCATCATCCATTAATCTTGTGTTTTATGGCAGTAAATATGCATCACTGGATGACTTCTGTGGAAGGTAACCTTAACAGGACCTGCATATTCCAGCACTGGTCTAAGAAAAGCTGTGTAAATTTACGTTTCTAAACGACATTCACATTTTAGTCATCCACCCAGATGCTCCGGTGTGTGACTGGCGTATGTTGACTTATATCTACTCCTAAATATTCTTCCCTCTCCGATTCCTGTAGTTTTGAAACTGAATCAAGTTTAATGAAGTTTGAATACACACATAGGGATGAGGTAGCTCAAACTACTCTCACCCCTTCAGTACAGTGTTCACACACACACACACACACACACACACACACACACACACACACACACACACACACACACACACACACACACACACACACACACATATATATACATATATATATATATATATATATATATATATATATATATATATATATATATATATATATATATATACTGAAAACTCGCACCCCAGAAGTGACTCGAACCCATACTCCCAGGAGCCACGCAACTGGTATGTACAAGACGCCTTAATCCACTTGACCATCACGACCGGACATAATGAGGTGATAGCCGAGGCTATCAAGGTCAAGTGGATTAAGGCGTCTTGTACATACCAGTTGCGTGGCTCCTGGGAGTATGGGTTCGAGTCACTTCTGGGGTGCGAGTTTTCAGTTGCATATTGTCCTGGGGATCATTCAGGCTTGTTCGCATATATATATATATATATATATATATATATATATATATATATATATATATATATATATATATATATATATATATATATATATATATATATACCTCACAAACATATTACGGAACATTCTGAGAGATAAAACATATACATTTCTTTTTTTTACACATGCAGTGTGTTACCAGACGTACATACACATATACTTTTATGACTGGGTATTCCTATAGTTGGATTCCATTTATGAAATAGACGCCTTCTGAGTTTCTTCCTTCCTCATCTTCATTTTCTAACAATTATTGGGATTGAACTCCAGCAATCATTTATTTGCCCAATTGCCCACGGGTAGATCATTACCATTAATTCGAACAGTTGTGTTGCTAAGACAGAGCCTTAGAGGATCGCACTTGTTACATTCGGCTAGCTAGAGACCTCGTCTTTGACTGTGACTCTTTGTCTTCTATCCTTCAGGAACTCCCTTACCCATTTTATTATTACCCATTATTACCCATTCTCAACTTTCCAAGCTTGTCATCATGTACACCAGCCTCTCAGATTCAACAGAGCAGAAGAAGTTGTTAAACACATATGGCAAAATCTTACTGAAGCGACCATACGAGCCATAAATACTCATACTCCGCCCAAGTAAAACAGAAACAAGCAACACTTAGTGGGCCAGCCAGAGGCTTCGGGCCCGCCCAGTGGGCCAGCCAGAGGCTTAGGGCCCGCGCAGTGGGCCAGCCAGAGGCTTAGGGCCCGCCCAGTGGGCCAGCCAGAGGCTTAGGGCCCGCCCAGTGGGCCAGCCAGAGGCTTAGGGCCCGCGCAGGAATATCCCTACAAAAAAAAAACCAGCCTCTCATGAGGAACAATATCAAACGCTTCTTGGCAGTCTAGGAAAATGCATTCTACCAAGTGTCCTTTTCCTGTACTATTTTTAGTAATTTTGTCTTAGACTTTTCCCTCCTAAATCAATGCTGTCGTTTTGTGGCAAAGTTAAGCCTCTTCATGTGCTCTGCTATTTTCACCTAGATTACTCTCTCCAGCACGTTACATGGAATATTTTTCAGTGACACAGGTCTTTAATTTAGTGACTTATCTTTTCCCTTTCTTAAGTATTGAAACTACGTTTGCCCTTTTCCAGAAATCTGGGAGATTTCCCGTTTTTTGTCATTTATTGAAAACATCCGTTAATGGGTGACAAACCAGCTTCCTTCGGCAGCCAGAGTGATAGTAACCTTGGCACAATGAAATTTGCTGAATTTAGTTCCTTCATGTTTTTTTAACCGTTACTACAATGTCATCCAGTGTTTCTTCTAGCCTTTCATCGCTCAATTCTGGTCGCCACATTGGTTCCTATGTAGAGACCTCCTGATATATTTTATTGAGTTTCTCACACACCTTCTTGTCATTTTCCATGAGACGTACCCCCCCCCCCTTTCTCTTTAACCTTATCACGTGGTCCCTCACTGTTGGTTTTCTCCTTATATGGCTATAAAACACTTATGGTTGGTCCTTAGCTTTTCCTGCAATTTCTTTTCAAATCACTGAAGCAATATTCTGAAAGATTAGTTTTTTCTGGTAGATTCCTCATTTGGAATATAGCAAGACTACAGCAATGTTCAGTTTCCCATATTCTCTCTCTTGTCTCTATTCTGGGAAGAGGTTTCTGTAATCTCTTTCTGCTCCTTTTTCTCCGCCTTTGTCCATGTGTCTTGCACTGGCTCTGACAGATAATAGATTATCACCGATTTCTACATCACCGACTACTTGTACATCCGGCTTGTGTTTTGCAGGTCTGTTATTGTTTTTTAAATGATCTGCTTTGCATCTGGGGCCAGATTCACGAAAGAACTTACGCAAACACCTACGAACCTGTACATCTTTTCTCAATCTTTGGCGGCTTTGTTTACAATTATTAAACAGTTAATGAGCTCCGAAGCACCAAGAGGCTATTTATAACAATAACAATAGTTGAATGGGAAGTTTTCATGCTTGTAAACTGTTTAATAAATGTAACCAAAGCCGTCAAAGATTGAGGAAAGATGTACACGTTCGTAAGTGTTTGCGTAAGTTCTTTCGTGAATCTGGCCCCTGGTCCTTTAGATGCTTCAGCAAATGTTTCGCGTGGTTGTGTTCCCCAGTTATCAGTCATTTTATGTATGTTATTTACTCTCTCCGTTGCCCATTCACTTGGGCTGGACGGTAGAGCGTCGGTCTCGTTTCTTGCTGGTCGGCGTTCAATCCCCGACCGTCCAAGTGGTTGGGCATCATTCCTTCCCACCTGTGTCATGCCAAATCCTTATCCTGACCCCTTCTCAGTGCTATATAGTCGTATATAGCACTGGGAATATACGATAATTCGTATAATGGGCACATAAATGGCTTGGCGCTTTCTCCTGATAATTCCCTCCCCCCCCCCTCCTTCTCGTTGTCTTTCCCTCTCCCTCTCTTCCACAAATTTTATTCTCTTCTGAAGTACAAATATATATTCTCCTCTCTTCAGTGATTTAAGCCCTTAATTCCTTTACTTCCATCTCCGTGGCTACTCGGAGTTCATCTTTCAAGCGAAGGTTCGTTTTCAGTGCTTCAGTGACCTTTTATCGCTGTATCTTGTCTCTTTCCCTTTCCTGAAGTTCCTGGGAGTGTTCTCCTGGTAAAGGTGTCTGTGCCTGCAGTTCTCCTGGTAAAGGTGTCTGTGCCTGCAGTTCTCCTGGTAAAGGTGTCTGTGCCTGCAGTTCTCCTGGTAAAGGTGTCTGTGCCCGCAGTTCTCCTGGTAAAGGTGTCTGTGCCTGCAGTTCTCCTGGTAAAGGTGTCTGTGCCTGCAGTTCTCCTGGTAAAGGTGGCTGTGCCTGCAGTTCTCCTGGTAAAGGTGGCTGTGCCTGCAGTTCTCCTGGTAAAGGTGGCTGTGCTTGCAGTTCTCCTGGTAAAGGTGGCTGTGCCTGCAGTTCTCCTGGTAAAGGTGGCTGTGCCTGCAGTTCTCCTGGTAAAGGTGGTGCTGTGCCTGCAGTTCTCCTGGTAAAGGTGTCTGTGCTGCAGTAAAGGTGTCTGTGCTGCAGTGGTAAAGGTGGCTGTGCTGCAGTTCTCCTGGTAAAGGTGGCTGTGCCTGCAGTTCTCCTGGTAAAGGTGGCTGTGCCCGCAGTTCTCCTGGTAAAGGTGTCTGTGCCCGCAGTTCTCCTGGTAAAGGTGTCTGTGCCCGCAGTTCTCCTGGTAAAGGTGTCTGTGCCCGCAGTTCTCCTGGTAAAGGTGTCTGTGCCCGCAGTTCTCCTGGTAAAGGTGTCTGTGCCTGCAGTTCTCCTGGTAAAGGTGGCTGTGCCTGCAGTTCTCCTGGTAAAGGTGGCTGTGCCTGCAGTTCTCCTGGTAAAGGTGTCTGTGCCCGCAGTTCTCCTGGTAAAGGTGTCTGTGCCTGCAGTCCTCCTGGTAAAGGTGGCTGTGCCTGCAGTCCTCCTGGTAAAGGTGGCTGTGCCTGCAGTTCTCCTGGTAAAGGTGGCTGTGCCTGCAGTCCTCCTGGTAAAGGTGGCTGTGCCTGCAGTTCTCCTGGTAAAGGTGGCTGTGCCTGCAGTTCTCCTGGTAAAGGTGGCTGTGCCTGCAGTTCTCCTGGTAAAGGTGTCTGTGCCTGCAGTTCTCCTGGTAAAGGTGTCTGTGCTTGCAGTCCTCCTGGTAAAGGTGTCTGTGCTTGCAGTCCTCCTGGTAAAGGTGTCTGTGCCCGCAGTTCTCCTGTTAAAGGTGTCTGTGCCCGCAGTTCTCCTGGTAAAGGTGGCTGTGCCTGAAGTCCTCCTGGTAAAGGTGGCTGTGCCTGCAGTCCTCCTGGTAAAGGTGGCTGTGCCTGCAGTCCTCCTGGTAAAGGTGGCTGTGCCTGCAGTTCTCCTGGTAAAGGTGGCTGTGCCTGCAGTCCTCCTGGTAAAGGTGGCTGTGCCTGCAGTCCTCCTGGTAAAGGTGGCTGTGCCCGCAGTTCTCCTGGTGAAGGTGGCTGTGCCTGTAGTCCTCCTGGTAAAGGTGGCTGTGCCTGCAGTCCTCCTGGTAAAGGTGGCTGTGCCTGTAGTCCTCCTGGTAAAGGTGGCTGTGCCTGCAGTCCTCCTGGTAAAGGTGGCTGTGCCTGCAGTTCTCCTGGTAAAGGTGGCTGTGCCTGCAGTTCTCCTGGTAAAGGTGGCTGTGCCTGCAGTCCTCCTGGTAAAGGTGGCTGTGCCTGCAGTCCTCCTGGTAAAGGTGGCTGTGCCTGCAGTCCTCCTGGTAAAGGTGGCTGTGCCTGCAGTCCTCCTGGTAAAGGTGGCTGTGCCTGCAGTCCTCCTGGTAAAGGTGGCTGTGCCTGCAGTTCTCCTGGTAAAGGTGGCTGTGCCTGCAGTTCTCCTGGTAAAGGTGGCTGTGCCTGCAGTCCTCCTGGTAAAGGTGGCTGTGCCTGCAGTTCTCCTGGTAAAGGTGGCTGTGCCTGCAGTTCTCCTGGTAAAGGTGGCTCCTGCAGTTCTCCTGGTAAAGGTGGCTGTGCCTGCAGTTCTCCTGGTAAAGGTGGCTGTGCTTGCAGTTCTCCTGGTAAAGGTGGCTGTGCCTGCAGTTCTCCTGGTAAAGGTGGCTGTGCCTGCAGTCCTCCTGGTAAAGGTGGCTGTGCTTGCAGTCCTCCTGTAGCCTCCACACTGTACCATCTCGCATTCTATTCTTCTTCAACTTTGTTTTGATATTACATTTTTTTTTAGCTGCTCCTTTTTTCGTCTGGGTCTCTTATGTTGTTAATGTTTATATGTCCATTGGTGGTGGTGGTGGTGGTGGTGGTGGAGGTTGTTGTGGTGGTGGTGGTGGAGGTTGTTGTGGTGGTGGTGGTGGAGGTTGTTGTGGTGGTGGTGGTGGAGGTTGTTGTGGTGGTGGTGGTGGTGATGGTGGTGGAGGTTGTTGTGGTGGTGGTGGAGGTTGTTGTGGTGATGGTGGTGGAGGTTGTTGTGGTGATGGTGGTGGAGGTTGTTGTGGTGGTGGTGGTGGAGGTTGTTGTGGTGGTGGTGGTGGAGGTTGTTGTGGTGGTGGTGGTGGAGGTTGTTGTGGTGGTGGTGGTGGAGGTTGTTGTGGTGGTGGTGGTGGAGGTTGTTGTGGTGATGGTGGTGGAGGTTGTTGTGG